ATTCATACATAGCTGTATTTATTGAAATGACTTTTGGAGGTGTTGCCATGGAAACAAATACTGGACAGAAATATTACTATTACTGGAGTGGACACACTGACAAAGAGATCTTAGGATTCATGAAACTTAAAATAACAAAATAAGGATAATCAGTGCCGTTTACATGGCCTCAGTGGTCCTTTAAACCAATGAAACGAAAACATATTTCCACTTTTGCAAATGACGTGCATCATATCAATTTCATATTTACCTTCTTTGTTTTTAAAGCGAAAAGACATCCACGTATCTGACATGAAATGTGATGGAACCGCGGGGGCGAATTTTCAGTGTCCTCCATGTTTTATTTCATATGACTCGTCGCAGTATCCCACTTATCGCCATGCTTGTGACACAAAGCACCGCGTCAACACATCCACAGCGACATCTGCTGGACTGGAAGTTGTATTCCACTTGGTTTGGCTGATGTGCGCCAACCATTAATGTATTTTATTTGTTCATTTTTTCTTTTTAATAATCGATTCTTGCCTTCAAGAATCGATGCAGTAGATCACAAAAATTTGAATTGCGATGCATCGTCATGACGATTATTTTACACACCCTTACTGCATTATGCTGTAGAATCTGGAATCACTTTACTCTCACTGATTTGGTGATCATCTTGTTTTTATTTTCAGGGCCTCACTGTGATTGGGAAGAGTGCGGCTTCTGAGAAACATCAAAGGTAAGACATGAACCTGGTTTCAGTAAAAAAAATTGTATATTGTTATTAAAAAGTTGTAAATTGTTTCCATTTGCAGAAAATTGTGTTGTTGTTTTTTGCTGTAATTCATACATGTTTTGTTTTTCCCTATAAACTTAAATCCCTCAGCGTAGAACCGTTAGTGTCATCCTAAATGGGTTAAAACAAAGGTGTCTCTTACACCCTCAAAAAGGAGAATGAAAACAGAACCGTTTAGTAAAATGGTATAAATGTGCCATTTACTGCAGATTTAGCTGAATCTCTTGTTGAGGATTAAAACCTAATCCTTCAGCTCAACTTGAGAGTTGGGATTGGGGATGCACTCTTTCTCTCATGTCTTTCTCAAGCAGGCCTTTTCTCACAGGAATAGAGCAAAATACCTCCCGGTCATTTCTGAAGTTGCTATTACCCCACCTTTGTGGAGAGCACACAGCGTTTGACCAGCATGGGACCCCTCCAGCTGTGATCTTTTATTCAGCAGAAACTGCCAAGTTGGAATTCCCAATCCTCTTAAAGCTGGGATATTGGAAACTGCTTGCTCCAAGCATGCATGGAAAAGTGAATTATATCTGCCGCCTGTCAATGCTCTATTAGTCAGGCATTGGCTGCTCTGAGATTCACACAGAATAATTGAGGAAATATATCACATTTATATGGTGTTTACACAAAATATTACATTTTCTTTTCTAAAGAACAAAAAAAATTACATTTTTTTACCAGTCAACTGTAACATCATTTTGTTTTTTCCTTATTTACTGCTTTAGAAATGTGGAACAATAAGCAATAAGCAAACTATGGAGTGATGCATTTATCAGTTTCAGATCTGCATGTTTCACCTCCCCTCTGTTCAGCTCCCCTCTGCTGAAGTCTTAAACGTCAAACCTATGCTGTACATGTGTCCTCTGACAGGGACGGAAAAGCCAGAAGAACCCCCAGAGATCCTTAAGAGGCTGTTTATAGCGAGATGAAATAGTCATCACTCAGATCTTTATTGATCAAGTGTAATTGATGCATATCGTCTCAAATTGAAGTGAAAAGGAACCATAAAGAAAACACAGCAAGACCACCAGCCTGCCTGCTGATTATATTATTAATGTCCCTCCTTCGACCAGCAGATCTGACTAATATGAGCCCTGCTGGCATGTTACATTAATCAAACGTCCATTAGTCTAATGATGAGCTCCGGGCAGCTGGTGAAGGGCGGCCTGCTGGTTCAGAGGAGATCTGGTTGGACAACTTTCTAATAGACTCTACACAGTTAGGCCCCAAAACATATGAAATTGCCCTGTTACACACTGCCAGTCTGTTTAATTTGATGCATCGTACAGAAAACTCTACTAAAATGTTCAAAATCTTGGTTTTATAAAATAGTATACATAATTACCATGAAAAAAAAAGATCTTCAATTCACAGAGACACCCAATGTTTGGTATTGCTACATTTAAGGAGTAGGATGCTTACTTTCTCACTCCAGGTGGCAGTAATTCACTTAAAGTGGGTTTGCATCCACAGAGAAGGGATGCATGCACAACTTATTTATTTATTTCAAAGGAGCACATTGAGATGAAAAATCTATTTTTCAAGGGGTCCTAATATAAACAGAAATCAACAATCAGATGAAAAATAGAGCTGTACCATCATCTGCATCTATGAAACATCCATATAAACGAAAACCTAACAGCATCACCATAGACACAACCAATCAATCTAACTATCCAACACTTAAAGCTCTAAACTGCTGCAACAGTTTATAAAAGTTACAAATACTTTGTAAATGATGAACCAGTCCATTTTTAAACACATGAACAGGTTATGGAGCGGAGAGAGGATGGGAGATTGTTCCAAAGGGTGCTTTATATTTAAAAGAGAACTTTTTGATTCATGAAACCACAAAAAAAGCTTTTAGTCGAATGCCCAATGATATATATGAAGGAAAACATAAAGAAGTGTTTTAAATATTAAGGATAACTAAGATTAATACACTTAGATGAAATATAGATGATAACCAGTGAAATTGGCATCCGGAAGATGGAGTGTGACAACACAGTTGGCACAGCAGACAATAGTCAGTTCTGAAAGGGAAACAGGGAATAAACCTGCGTAGACTGTTATATACAACATTAAGTGATAGGAGATTAGTAAATGTAGTATTATGATATAAATAAAACTGCTGTGTAAGAGTTATAACTCAATCTCCTTACTGAAAAAGTTAAACAATTAATTGAATGATAAAGTAGATTCAAACAATACACTGGAAAAACGATCAAGAAATAGGTAAAAATTTCTCAAATTAAGTGTATTTACCCTTTTTTGAGTAGGTTAATGAGACGATTTGCCAATAGAACGAGTATTTTTACTCTTAAAATAAGATATTTAGATAAAATGCACTTGAAATAAGACAATGCAATTGCGTTTTCTTATTTTAAATGTAAATTGTATTGTTCCATTGGCAAAATTTCTCTTTTACCTTCTCAATTCAAGAACAAATGCACTCATCTAGGTTTTGATTTTTTCCAGTGATGTAACTTTATTTGTAACAGTATCAATAGGAAAAGTGAAAGAAAGTGAAGAGTCAAGCCAAAAAAGGCAAAACATTTAAACAAGACAGGTGAGGTACCCGAGTAGATACAGACTTTTTCCTCTGAAAACATTTAATGAGATCTTGTTTTATTAAGTAGCAGTATGTTGGACTGAAGGCAAATTTCTACTTTTACAAAATCATATTGAAGAGAAATATGAATATATAAATGCTTGGTTTTAAGCAATAAATAACAGTATCATCGGCATATAGGTGAATATTACAGTCCATTCAGGCAAGAGGAAAGTCATTTAAAAAAACTGGAAAAATAAAAGGTCCAAGATAGGAACCCTGGGGCACACCTCTTTCTATTATGCCAAAATCAGAATGACTACACGTAAGGAACAGACTGTTGATAGTGATGCAGGTATGAGTTGATCCAAACCAGAGGATCTGTCAAATGTAGTATATCTTAAAGAAGATGCATCTGAGATAGAAGTTAGCACTTGCCCGTTTTATCAACACAACGGGCTCTAGACACGAGAGCAATTTGTAGTATCCCATTAGAAGAGCTTAATGGAAACGGCAACAGATGAATCAACTTAGTAAATTTCACTCTAACTAGAAATTAGTGTAATCAAAAGCTACTTCAACCTAACCTGACTCCGCCAGATGGATTTGCTCCGCATATCCATCTGGAAACCTTCCGTAGAAGTCATTCTGGTAAGGGGCGAAAATACTTGTTGGTTGATTGGCCTATGTTGTTGCTAGACGG